ATCAAAAAGAAAGACGAAAACGATACAATTGCCATTACTGTTTAGAAAACGGCACAAGTGTCATTCTGCCTCTGAACAAGTGTATTAAGCGCCACGATCCTTCCAAGCCATGATAAGCTAAACTTATTTTGGATGTAGGATGGGCACACCTCTTAAAACATTCGAAAAGAAAGACGAAATGACACAACTGCCGTTACTGTCTAAAAAACGACATAAGTACCGTTTTGCCTATGAATAAGTGTATTAAGCGCTACGATCCTTCTGAGCCACGATAATCGTCATCTAATCATAATTTTCAGCCTTCCCAAGTTAGGGGGTCCAATTCGTGAGGTCGTTCGACTGGCTTAGTAGAAAAATATTGATGAAATCAACAAAACGACACAAGTGTTGTTTAACGACACTTATGCTGTTCTACCTGGAAACACTTGTGCTGTTCTGCAGGATGGAAGCGACGCTTACAAAGTTCGAGAGATGTGCTCAATGCTTGAACTTCGAATCGAATTTTAACCAAACATGTTGATGATAACGGTAGTTTGGCTGGTTTAGTAGAAAAATATTGATGAAATCAACAGAAGGACAAAAGTGTTGTTTAACGACACTTGTGCCGTTCTGCAGGATGGAAGTGATGCTTACAAAGTTCGGGAGATGTGCTCAATGCTTGAACTTCGAATCGAATTTTGACCAAACATGTTGATGATAATGGCACAAGTGTCGTTACTATGAAAAAAACAACATTTGTGCCGACAATGGGATGAGAACATTTATTGGATGACCATTGTACTACGTGTAAATAAAATTCAATGATAAAGACACTCGTGTCGTTCATGATTAGGAAAAGATTGCAAATGGACGCAATAGCGCAGAAAGCAACACTTTAGCCGTTACTGGTTTGAGAACAGACAAAAGAATGACAGAACTATCGTTATGTTTGCAAAACGAAATTAGACGAGCACGACACTTCTGCCGTTACTGGACCATCAAAATGACACATGTCGTTCAGCCACTAAAATCGATTTTGAGGAGCTTCAACCCATCCGAACCACGATAATCGATAAACTGAACCCATTTAAGTTGCATGCTCAACACGCCGTTTACAAAATTCTTGAGATATGACCATTACTTGTACTTTCAAACGAATCTAGACTAAGACTTGTGGTTTCACCGTTTCATACCTTATATTCTATATCAATTCCACCGTTAGTTGTCACAAAATCAACATTTTTGTCCTTCTTAGGTTGGGGGGTCCAATCCTGATGTCATTGCCTTGAAAAGTAGCAAAATATTGAAAAAATCAATAAAACGACACATGTGTCGTTCTGCCACTAAAATTGATTTTGAAGAGTTGCGACCCGTTCGAACCATGATAATCGATAAACTGAACCCATTTAAGTTGCAGGCTCAACACGTCGCTTACAAAATTATTGAGATATGTCCATTACTTGTACTTTCAAATGAATCTAGACTAACACTTGTGTTTTCACCGTTTAATTCCTTATATTCTATATCAATTCCACCGTTAGTTGTCACACAATCAACATTTTTGTCCTTCTTAGGCTGGGGGGTCCAACCCTTGATATCCTTGTCTTGAAAAGTAGCAAAATATTGAAAAAATCAACAGAACGACACAAGTGTCGTTTAACGACACGTGTCTGTCTGCCACTAAAATCAATTTTGAAGAGCCGCGACCCGTCCGAACCACGATAATCGATAGACTGAACCCATTTAAGTTGCAGGCTCAACACGCCGCTTACAA